ATAGATTAAGTTGTTTCCTTTTTAAATTAAGTCTTTAGAAGAGATAAAGACGTTGGAGGGTTGTGCATCCTAAAATTAAGTACAATGTTATCTGTATAGCGAAAAGAATTTGTTTCCTTAATTTGATTTTTAGGGAAGTTATCTTATGGTTAGTGGGGCATTAGAAATTGAGTTTATAAAATAAGATGGAACATACATATAAGGGGAGGTTGAATTTTATGAAATAAATAAAGTTTTATTTGGAGAGAGAGAGGACCTCTGTGGCTGTTGTTTCTTTTCTTGAGTTTGGTTCGTGTCAGAAGACTCGTATCTACACATTTTGTTCTTTCTTCTTGTGATTCTATTCTCGTTTTTATTTCTTTCTTTAAAACACGGTTAATTTTTACCGGTGTTGTTTGTCAGTAAATTTTATACTGCGTCAGGTGCTATCAGAGCCTAGACTCTTCTTGTGCGATCGCATGCTAGGCATCATGGTTCATGGGTATCCGCAACAAGAAGGTGCCGGGAATGAGCCAATCCAATGAGAGCGAGACCTCCATGAGATAGAGTTCGAAAATTTGAGAAGGCAAGTAAAAGAACTGACCCAACGCTTGGCGCAAAATCCAGCCCCGACACACTATAATGACGGTAGTGAGTCGGAAGCTACTTTTAAGAACCCGTTCCATGCATATACTCTGCATCGGGAACCCCATGTTCGGGATAATAGATCTTGGGATCTAGGTATTAAAGTTGATCTACCAGAGTTTGTAGGAGGATTGCAAGCGAAAGAATTCGTGATTGGATTGATTTTATCGAACACATATTCGAATACAAAGAGGTACCTGATAATAGGATGATTAAGCTTGTGGCTATTAAGCTTAAGGGCCGTGGTCATCAGCATGGTGAGAGCAATTGAAAAAGACTCGGGAAAGACAGGGAAAACTCGAAAATATCTGGTTGAGAAAAGATGAAAAAAAGGTTGAGGGAGCAATTCTTACCTTTTAACTATACTCAGACGATGTTCAGCGACTTCATACCCGTTGGCAAGGGGGGCGGTCTTTTGATGATTATACTGAAGAATTTTATCAACTAGTTGCACGGAACAACTTGTCGGAGACTGAAGAGCAACAGGTTGCCCGATATATTGCGGAACTGTGCCAATCAATTCACGATATCCTAAGTTATACTCTCTATGGACTATATCAATACCTTATCAACGAGCTTTAACTATAGAGAAGCAACAGTCCAAGAGCAGGGCTAGCGTAGCCACTATAGGAGATTCGGGTCTCCGAACAGGCCAGTTTCAAGATCGTGGTGCTAGGCATGAAGATGCACCATCTGGGGGCCATAGAGGTGTCATTGCAGCACCTATTAATCACCCAACTACTACTGGTCTAGTTGCTAGAGTTCAGGGCAACAACTTAACTCTCTGTTGTTTAAAGTGCAGGGAGGCAGGCCACAAGGCTGGAGACTGTAGAAAGCTGAATAGCCATCTTGATAAAAGCAAGAAACTCATGATTGTGAATAAGAACCTAGAGGATACTGATGGGTATGATGGTGATTCAATTTATATTGAGGAACCAAATGTGGATGATCTTGTCTATGGAGATGTTGGAGAGTCCTTAGTTATTCGAAAGAGCTTACTAAAACCTAAGTAAGAAACTTAGGAGGATTGGTTGAGGACCAATATTTTTCACATCACCTGTACCATTTGAGGCAAGGTGTGCAAGCTTATTATTGATAGTGGGAGTTGTGAGAATGTAATATCACAAGATGTGGTCACAAAGCTCAAGCTAGGCATATAGAAGTATCCACAACCATACAAGCTCACTTGGTTAAACAAGGGCAATGAGGTACGAGTAGAAAGTAGATGCCATGTTTCTTTTTCTATTGAAAAAAATATTTTGATGATGTATGGTGTGATGTGGTTGCCATGGATGCTTGTCATCTATTGTTGGATAGACCATGACAATATGACCATAGAGCTATACATGATAGGAGGAGGAACACATATACTATTTGGAAAGATAGTAATAAAATTGTATTAGTTCCCATGAAAAAGGGAATTACACTTAAGTCTAAACCAGGGGAGGGTGTAAATTTACTCTCAATGGTTAACTCTATGGAGGAGGTTCAGGAGACTGGGTTAATGTTTGCTTTAGTGGTTCATGAGGAGGATTTAGATCGTGTTATTCTAGAGGGGGTCGAGCCTATCGAATTATTTGATGATGAAAAAAAGGAAGCACTTAAAGGAGAATTCATAAGTGAGGTTAAATCAGTCATCGAACATTCTTAGCTCGAAGATGTTAGGGCTGAGCATAAACAATTCATATGGCAATACGATGACCCATTCCTCGAGGGTTTATCAGTTTCAATACACAATCGTTATTTTTGAATAGTATTCTAACCCACAGGTTTCATGATCGTGTTTACAACATTCGGATCGAAGAAGGTGGCAGGACTAATACAATGTTCATCTTACTGCAATTTAAAACTCGATGATGAGTTTTTCCTGACCCGGGGAGAATGAACCAAATAAAGATTTGGTCGCTCAAAATTTTAATTTTTATTTTTAGAGTCTTAAATTTTTTTTAATGAGTCCATTCATTGTTTTGCAAGAGTTAGGTTTTTTTAGGAAATTCATTTTTTTTAGATAAGTCTTATTTTAGGTAGGATTTATATTTTCCATACTAATTAGCGATAAAGGTATGTTTTATATTACAAATGGATGAGTTCATTTTTCCATGGAAGGCTTGTATTGCCTTTTGGAAACTTGGGTGGATTTTATTTTCCTTATGCATAGCATTGTCCTTACCTTATTGAGCGTTTAGGAGGAAGGACCTTATTGAGCGTTTAGGAGGAAGGAAGTGAACTTTTGGTTGGCCCCTATGTTTTAGGTAGATGCGTATTTTTTATTGAGAAATAAAGATTAGGATTGTTTCCTATATTGATAGGAATCTTTTGAAGAGATGAAGACGTTGGGGGGTTGTGCATCCTAGTATTAAGTACAATGTTATCTATGTAAAGAAAATAATTCATTTCTTTAACTTGATTTTTAGGAAAGTTATCTTACAGTTAGTGGGGTATAAATTTAGTTTATAAAAGGTGGAACATACATATAAGGGGAGATTGAATTTTATGAAATAAAGAAAGTTTTCTTAGGAGAGAGAGAGGCCCTTTGTGAGTGTTGTTTATTCTCTTGAGTTTGGTCCATACCGGAATACTCGTATCCGCACGTTTTATTCTTTCTTCTTGTGATTTTCTCCTCGTTTTTATTTCTCTCTCTAAAACACGGTTAAAGTTTGCTAGTGTTATTTAACGGTAAATTTTATATTGCATTAATTTTATAGTAATTATCCAATGAATTATCAACAAAAAATTAACTTTACTAATCAAAATGGGTTTGAACGACGAGTTTCCTGCCGTCTAGCTCATTTTTTATCTGGATGACACTGTTCATGTCGTTTGGATTGTTATCTATAGAAAAAGTAATTTCTTGGTTAGATGTTACTAATATGTATGATAGTTGTCGTTGTTATCTTTTCTGGAACCGTATGTTGTATATTTATGCATAGAGTTCTTTGCAGATTTTCTAAGACTCTATCGTGGTATTAAAACTAGGTTCGATCTTGGGACCTGTGGATTATATGCCCACAACGATTCCCCTGCGAACAAAACATATTAAAATTGATTTGTCACTTTGTTCGACATCATTTTCTTTATGGCATACTTACTCTCCATTTGTTACTTTAAATGATCAATTAGCAGATCTTCTCACAAAACCCACTTCCAGTATTCGTTTACGTTACTTACTGTCCAAACTTCAGCTGCTCTCTCCAAAACCATCTTGATTTTGAGGAGCGGTATTATCTATAAAAATAGTATATCTCTTGATTAGGTGTATATCTCTTAGTTAAGTATTATTGATATGTATGAGAGGTGTCGTTCTTATCTTGCTTCAACCACTCACTCCAAAACCATCTTGAGTTTGAGGAGGGGTGTTATCCATAAAAATAGTATATCTCTTGATTAGGTGTATATCTCTTAGTTAGGTATAATTGATATGTATGATAGGTGTTGTTCTTATCTTTTTGTAACCGTCTGCTGGTTGTATATTTATACTGGCCTTTTATATTCTTTTATTTATTAATAAATAGAGAGTTTTCTATATGTTCTTTGAAACTATCATAGATGACATAGTTCCCATTTTTGACCCTCATAAGAGTCTGTTTGGGTCATAATTTTCAAATCGTAAATCGGATTTAGGTGATTCTTGGACATTTGAAAAGCTTGCGATCTCTCCATAATTTAGAATTAAATTTAGTCTAATTTGAGTAAATTTTGAAAGTCTAAAAGGCTAGGACTTCAAGATGTCATTTTTCAAATTTCTAAACCTCGGATTGGTGTCAGAGTTAGTTTCCTATGTTTATTAGACTCATAGGTGTCTAGGATGACTAGTTTAGGGTATTAGAATGTAAGAATTTAGAAATTAGCCAATTTCAAATTAAGAAATTTCAAAACCATGCCATTACTAAGGTACTAGTCCAATACAAGGGTATGGAGCCGGAGGATGCTACATGAGACCGGCAAGCGTTTCCCTCATTTTTCAGCCTTCCGGCTCCTAGGGAGGGATGCATGTGACGGTTCAATAGAGAAAGACGCATGTCAATTTAATTGATAAGGGAAGTGCAATATGACAAATCAATTAATAAGGATAAGGAAGACATGTATGCAAATTGGTTTTAGGGAATAAAAGAAGTGAGTAGGATTGCAAATTGGTTTTAGGGTATAAAAGTAGGGAGTAGGATTGCAAATTGGTTTTAGGGAATAAAAGCAGTAAGTAGGATGAATTATAGGTTATGATTCTATATTTCCTTTTATGATTTGATTGTTGGCTATGAAAAGGAGGGTTGGATAGAAGGTAGGGCACACAAGAAATTGCATCGAGTCTTATAAGCATGTACCCCCCTTGTATCGTTCCCTTGGGTTCATTCCAAACCTACACAAAACAACAAAATGACAGTGACCCAACCATCTTCCAATTCGAAAACCATCAATTTAAAATGACAATCATCCACAAGGGTGGGTGCCTGTTATGTGGATTACACATTATCCACACGTGTGGTACAATTTTCATTCACACGTGCCCCTCGGAAAGAAGGGTTTATTTGTCATCAATTGTTGCCAATGAAATTAGGCGGCACCTCAATAAAAGCAGGGGGCCTTTGGTAGATAATGGATGCAGACCTTATCAAAATCCCAGCCGTTAAACCCCATATCACATACATCTTTCCATTTTCGGACAAGAAATCGAAGTAGTGAAGCAAATACCTGCTACCCCGCCACTCTCTCTCCTCGCTCCTCCTCTTCTCATCCTGCAAAATCCAAAGGAAGTAATGGAAATTGTGACTTGTGTGCTAGGCCCCTTGAACTTGTATTCAATTTGAGTACGTCCAACGGCCGCAATGCGTTTATGGTCATTTAATAAAACCAAAATTAATGGGATGATACCCATGAACCCCGGTTTAAAAGAGAAAAAAAAACAGAAAAGTACATAAAAAATTCATTTGTTAACTACATTTAATGTTAAAAGAGTAATAATTTCTCGATCTTTACAACACCATCCAATTTAATATCTAACGACAATAAGTGATTATAACCTCTTTGTAAAAATAAATAAATAGACCCATAGCATAAATTCTAAAATATAAAACACCACATATGTGCTTTATAGCCAAAACAGCAGCATAAGATGCAGCCCACATTTCCATACCCTTTTTTAAATTTCAATCTGATTATAGAAAAGAGAGTATATGTTTGATTAGTGGAAGAGGTGGCTCCTAAAAGATTGCAAAAGCTGCCTCTTCCACTAAAATTGGAGGCAGCGGGTTAAGGGGCAAATGACCAGATGGCCCAATACGGCTCCAGGGCTCCATCCAAAAAACCTAATGCCTAGGCCACAAAATGTGACTCGGGGGTCCATCATTTTTCTTCAGTTTTTTTTTATTTTTATTTTTTAAACTAGGCCCGCCCCTAAGAGGATTAGGGCCTCTGTAGTGGGTCAAGGCAGGGCCAAGCTTGGTCACCCCTAACTGCGTGAAATATGCGGCTTCCCACATACTACATAAACTTGTGCCAAAAGATATTCTATTCTCATCGGAGTAGAATGTCCATTATTACCTCGGGTATGTACCCTACATAGAATTAATTTTAATTCCAAATTTTGAAAATTAAACCTCTTCAACCTATAGATTAATTTCAATAAATTTTTTTTCCTAATTGTACTTCTATGCGCTTGAAAAAAATAACGTCTCGAGAATGAATAGAGACCATTGAATTTTTTAATATGAGATTTAAGTGTTAAAAAGCTCAAATTTCCATTTTTTTTTTTGAGACATCATCTAGTAATTCTTAATTAGTTCGCAAAATTTTAAATTGAAAAAAATCCCCCTAAATAGGTCTTTTGATGGAGGGAGTGAAGTGAACTATGCTCCCAAGGAGCATAATATACCTACTATTGTAGGTCTTTTGATGGAGGGAGTGAAGTGAACTATGCTCCCAAGGAGCATAATATACCTACTATTGTTTAGAAAGCTTGGACTCTCAAGCCAGCGTGGCACTTCCTCTCAGCGTTCAAAAAGTCGGCCGAGGTACTCGGGCTTGGGCCCTTGCCAAGTCCGACTTGTTATGAGTTGGAGGTTCAACTCGAAGATCTTAAAAAAAATTTAAAAATTATAAAAAAATCTCAAAAAATAAGAAATATATTTGTAACATGTTTTCTATCATTTTCGCAAAGATTGGAAAGTATTTTGACCATAAATACTTATTTTTATATTTTTCATCTTTTTTAAATTTTTTGAAAATACCCCCGATCACAAACTCATTTTTTAAAATCTATTTTTTTGCTAATTTTTTTAACAACAATTAGTTGTGTTTTGTTAAATTTTACTTTCTATATATTTTTCCTATTTTTTGAGATTTTTTTATATATTTTTTATTTTTCTAATAGTTTGTCGGCCCCTCTTAAACTAAACGAGAAGTGCTACTATATTAGAATCCATAACTTCCGGTAATCAAATACCAAGGATAGAGAAAAGATATTGTATATTATGAGATCATTTGATTTAGTTTCAAGGTGGTCACAATTACACTTAGCTATTAGATGT